TACAGGAAACACTGAGAGAAGTCTTACTTACAGAAATGCCACAGAAAGCAGGAAGGACAAAAGTAACCAGCAGCAACACCAAAAAGAACTCCACAAAATGACAGCAATAAAGATTTACCTCTCAGTAATTACACTGAATGTGAACGGTTTAAAATGTATCACTGAAGAGAAAAAGAGTAGCACATTGGATAAAACCCAAATTGATCAATATGCAATCTACCAGAGACACACCTGAAAAGTAAAGATAAAGACCAAAAATTAAAGGGAGGGGGAAAAATAAACCAAGCAAACAGCAACCAGAAAAAACCAAGCCTAGATTAATTTCTCATAAAATAGATTTCAATGCAAAAACCATCACAAAGGACAAGGAAGGCCACTATATTATGCTTAAAGGGTCAACAGAACAAGAGGACATAACCATAATAAATATCTATGCATCAAGTGATGATGTTGTTGTTGTTATGATAGAGCTGCAAAATATACAAAACAAACAGTAACAGAATTGAAAAAAAGAAATAGACTCCACAACTGTAATCCTAGGAGACTTCAGTACACCACTCTTAAGAAAATATAGAACTACCATAAAAAAACTGAACAAAGATGCTCAATAATTAAAGCACATAATAAGACAACTCAGTTTCACAGATATATACAGGCTAATGCATCCTAAGAAAGCGCAGTATGCCTTCTCCAATGTGAATAGAACATTCTCCAGAAAAGATCACATTTTAGGTCACAAGGCAAGCATCAATAAATTAAAACATAGAAATAATACAAAGCATCTTCTCAGATCACAATGCTATAAAAATAGAAATGAGTAACAAGAGGATAAAGGAAAAAAACCCCATACATTTGGAAGCTGAACAACCCCTAACTTGAACATGTCTGGGTACTAAAAGAAATAAAAAATGAAATTTAAAAAATTCTTGAAGTGACAATGAAAACACAAAATACCAAAACCTCTGGGAAACAGCCCAATTAGTAATCAGAGGTCAATTTACGGCAATAAACAAACACATCAAAAGACAAGAAAGAATGATAATTAACTCTCTAAAACAACATCTCCAGTAAACTGAATGAGAACTGCAAGAAAACCCAAGACCCTCTAAAAAAAAATTACAAAAATTAGGGCAGAAATAAATGAAATAGAAAACAGAAAAACAAAACCATCAATAAAAAGAGTTGAGTCTTCAAAAAGGTCAATAAAGTAGATAAACTATTATCAAAACTAACAAAGAAAAAGAAAGAAAAACACAAATAATCTGAATAAGACAATGTCACATAGAACCAACTAAAATAAAAAGGTAAACAATGGAGCACCAGCAGCCAGGAAACGAAAAGACATACTGCGTTGAGAAAGTCTGCTGTTAGAGACCTCTCCAAGGCATGGAAGAGCAATGATGTCAGTCTGGACACTAAGGTATGCCTGATACAGTTCATAGTCTTTGCAATCACTTGCTATGCATCAGACAGCTGGACAATGACTAGGGATTATAGAAGGAGAATTGATGCCTTTGAGCTATGGTGTTAGAGAAGAATATTGAATATACCATGGGCTGCTAAGAGAACAAACAGGTTCATCCTAGAGAGGGTGAAACCAGGCTGTGCTCCTTGGAGGCAAGGATTCTGAAGCTTCATCTGACATACTTTGGGCATGCTGCAAGGAAGTCCTTGGAGAGGGATGTCATGCTTGGGAGGGTGGAGGGACAGCACAGGAGAGGAATATCCTCAATGAGATGGATTGATTCATTGACTGGGGTAATGGAGAGAGGTGTGTCAGAGACAAATAATACTGGCACAGGATAGCGCAGGGTTTATGGCTGTTGTACACATCACTGAGTAGCAGATGATGTGACACCACATAACAGTAACAACAACATACTCAAATTAATAGGAGAACCTAGAGACAATAGACAAATACTTATTAACCCACAACCTATCTAAATTGACACAGAGTGAAAACAAACACCAGAAAAGACCCATGACAAAAGTAGAAATTGAAAAGGTAATAAAACAGCTTCCAACCAAAAAAAAGCCCAGGACCATATGGTTTTACAAGTGAATTTTATCAAACATTCAGAAGAACTGTCACTAATTCTATGTAAAGTATTTCAGAAAGCAGAAAAAGGTGGAATTCTCCCAGATACATTCTATGAAACAAACATATCCTGATACCAAAGTTTGGTAAAGACACCACCAAAATAGAAAATTATAGGCCGATATCTCTTATGAACATAGATGCAAAAATTCGGAATAAAATACTGGCCAAGATAAGCCAACAATACATAAAAAAAATAGTACACCATGACAAAGTGGGATTCATAACAGGTATGCAAGGACGACTCAATATTAGAAAAGCAATCAGTTTTAATTCATCACATTAACAAAGCAAGGAACAAGAACCACATGATCCTATCAATTGATGCAGAAAAGGCCTTTGACAAAACCCAACTCCCTTTTCTGATTAAAATACTCAACAAAATAGGAACAGAGGGGAATTTCTTCAACACAGTAAGAAGGATATGAGCAAACCTGAGAACCAGCATTGTTCGGAGAAAGGTTAAAGGCATTACCTTTGAGGACAGGAACTAGGCAAGGATGCCCACTATCACCATTCCTATTCAATTATGTTAGAAGTCTTCGTGATAACAACAAAGCAGGAGAAGGAAATAGGTATTCAAACTGGCAAAGAGGAGGTAAAAGTATCACTACATGGAGATGATATGATAGTATACTTAGAAAATCGTAAAACCTCAGCCAGACATAGTTGACCAATTTAGCGATGTGGCAGAATACAAGAACAGAATACAAAAATCAGGGGAGCTCTGGTGGCCTAGTGGCAAGGACCTGCAACCACAATCCCAGAGTCACACGGTTCGAATCCACCAGATGCTCTGCTGGGGAAGGAGGCACAATCTCCTCCTGTACCAGTCAAATCTGATTTGACGGTACATTCACACAATAATAATAATAATTAAAAAAAAAGAATACAAAAATCAATTGGATTTCTCTACAGTGACAAAGAGAATACAGAAATGGAGCTAAAAAAACCCCAACCTATCACAATAGTTAGCCACAAGAGTAAATATTTAGGAGTAAATCTAACTAGAAACACAAAATGCCTATTCAAACAAACAAACAAACAAACCCACAAACTCACATTATTAACAAGAAACTATAAGAGATCTGGAGAAATAGAAGAATTTACCATGCTTATGGATAGGAAAACTGAATATTGTGAGAATGACAATTCTTCCAAAGGCAATCTACAAGTTTAATGCAATCCCAATTCAATACCAATTACATTCTTCAACAAGATGGAAAAAGCAATTTTCAATTTCATCTGGAATGGACAGACACTCCAAATAAGCAAAGCACTGTGAAAAAAGAGAAACAAGATAGGAGGCATATCAATCCCTGATCTCAAAGCCTACTATGCAGCTGTGGTATTCAAGACAGAGGGGTACCGGTACAGTGACAGATGCTTACTTTTACAGACTAGAACTGAGAACCTAGAATTCAGCTCATTGACTTATGGTCAACTGATTTTTGAGAGAGGAAATCAGTTCAGTGGAAAACAAAATACTTTTAACAAATGGTGTTGGCAAAATTGGAAAACTATCTGTAGAACATTCAAGTAAGACTCAGATCTCACACCATATTAAAAAAAAACACCCAACAACTCAAAATGGATCAAGGACCATACACTTCATCAGAGAAAAACTTGGAAGAACTCTAGAAGCCCTAATCCACAACATGAACAGTCTTCCAAGTATCCTGAAAAACCTACCACCAGGAGAGGATAAAATAGCTGAATGGGATCTTTTAAGAATCAAATCCCTATGCACATCCAAAAACTTCTCCAACAGCATAAAAAGGGAGGCCACAGACTGGGAAAAAATGCTTGGTAATGATACATCTAATAAGGGACTCATATCTAGAATTTATAGACTATTGCAGCACCTCAACAAGGTAAAGGTAAACAAGCCAATCACAAAATGAGCACAGGATATGAACATACCTTTCACCAAAGAAGTCATTCAAATGGTAAACAAACACATGAAGTAATGTTTAAAATCCCTAAGGGCTTAAGAGAGGTGCTGAAAAAATAACGATGAAATATCATCTCACCCCAGTAACAATAACAAAGTTCAACAGATCAGCAAACAACAAATGCTGGTGAGGTTGTGTAGAAGCTGGAACCCTTATTCACTGTTGGCAGGAGTGTAAAATGATGCAGCCAATATGGAAGGTGCTTTCTCAAAAAGTCAGAAAATAGAAATACCATTTGACTCAGCA